GTGGAACCAGAATGCTCCTTGTAGGCAAGAATTCTGAAGCTCTGTCTGACATACTTTGGGCATGTTGCAAGGAGGGACCAGTCTTTGGAGAGGATCATCATTCTTGAGAGGGACAGCACAAGAGAAGAAAACCCTCAATGAGATGGATTGATACAGTGACTGGGGTATTGGGGGTAGGTACAGGATAGAGCAGAGTATAGGACAGTTGTACATAGGTTCATTATGAGTTGCAAGTGATTTGAGGGCACATAACAACAACTTGCCACATCAGTAAGGTTAATTGAGCAGTTCGACAGTTAGGTGGATGTTTTCTTAAGGATTTTATTGTTTTATTAATTTGTGTTCTTTAAACTTGAAATGTAGTTGCATTTCCCCAAGATAATTTGTATATTTACTCTACTTGTTGCTGGGAAGTACCACCAACCTGGAACCACTTCAAATAAAATTCTCTTTTTAAGAGGTTTCAACTATACAGATAATATGAATTCAAACCATTAACTAGTGTGAGTGATGAATTGTGGTTACAGATCGTCAGGAGATTTTTATCTTTTGCTTCCATTCAGAAGAAATTTTCTTTTAAGTTTAAACTACTCTATAGCAGATTTATTTCTTCCTTACTTTTGCAGAGAATAGAATCCTGTAACATACCAACACAATGGGATGGGAGAGGAGTTTCTGTTAGATTTGACACTTTAGCTAGACCCAGAGACTTTTCTCTGAACTTCTTGTCCCTTTGAATCAACAAATAGGTAGCCCTGGTGGCTAATGGTAAAAAGTTGTGCTGCTAAACCAAAGGTAGATGCTCTGTGGAGAAAAGAAAAACAAACTCCTTCTGTAGAATTTAAAGCCTCTGAAAACCCTCTGGAGATTCAGTTACAAGTCATTTCTGATTTGACAACACTTAACAACCTAAGGTCTTTAGGACTTAGCCAGAGTTCCGAGATAACGCACAATGTCTCAGGATTTCAGCATTTCATCATTCTTAAGTAGTGAGCTCCAAAGTCTTTGGCCTTACAACAAACACCAGAACTAAAGATCCATCAGGACCACCATCTTTGCCAAATAACCTAATCCAGGGCATCATCCTGCTTTACTGCCATGAGCCTCACCTGGAGCCAGAAAAGGTTGTCCTGTGTTATGATATCTGTATGCCTGATTGGATCTACAATTTGCTGTGAGATGTACAACAGATATATGATAGTTTGTTGCATCGGAGTAATTATTTGTATGGTGGTCTAGTGGTAAGAAGCTGTGCTGCAATCCCAAAGTCATGAATCTACTAACTGCTAAGTGGAAGAAGGATGAGCAGTCTCATCTCCTGTGATTAACTTCCTCTGAAAACTTCCTGCGATGAGGCAGTCCCCATTTAATGACACACAACAATTACTTTATAGCTAAGGTGTATAGACACTTGCTGGTCTATCATTTGCTCTTACTA